TTTCCTGACTTTAAACCACACAGTATCCCCTTGTTCTGTTCAAATGACTGCCTCTTGATCTATGTACAGGTTCCTCATGAGCACAATTAAGTGTTTCAGAATTCCCACTCTTCACAATGTTACCCATAATTTGTTATGATGGCTTAGAATTTTCTAAAATTAGTGAGACAACAAATGAAATACTCAATAACCTCAGAGAAATCTAAACAGGATATATAAGGAGAAAAATGCAACTAGACACATTACACCCTCTCATCACTTATCGACATGGTTAGATTCCAAAGACCAGGCCATTACACGATATCTGCATTAAGTGAAAATGGAGTATCTGTTTTTGTACTTTCTGTTATACCTGTCTGTACTGTCAGTGGGACAGTAGCTTCCCAATAAGCCCAAGAGGTGGAAAATGTAGGCGAGTGCTATATGTCCTGCTGGTCATGTTAATGCACAAAATAGTCAGACAGTATATCTTTTACTATTGTCGTAAATGCAAAATATCCGATAACGAGATAGTCAATAAGTGAGGAGAGAATGTATAGTGAAACTGCTAAAAACCAAAGATAAGTTTGAAAGTAGCCAGAGAAAATAATAGACCAAATAAAAACAGAAGTAGTACACACAGGGGAACAATGAAACAATGATAAGAACTTCAGTTGTCTTCTCATCAGGGACAGAAACCAAAAGGTGAGTATTGTTGTTGTTGTTAGGTGCCATTGAGTCAGTTGTGACTCATAGCAACCCTATGTACAACAGAACGAAACACTGCCCAGTGCTGCGCCATCCTCACAATCATTGTTATTCTTGAGCCCATTGTTGCAGCCACTGTGTCAATCCATCTCTTTGAAAGTTTTCCTCTTTTTTGCTGACCCTGTACTTTACCAAGCATGATGTCCTTCTCCAGGGACTGAGCCCTCCTGATAACATGTCCAAAGTACGTGAGATGAAAAGTCTCACCATCCTTGCTTCTAAGAAGCATTCTGGCTGTACTTCTTCCAAGAAAGTCTTGTCCGTTCTTTTGGCAGTCTGTGGTATATTCAATACTCTTTGCCAACATTATAATTCAAAGGCATCAATTCTTCTTCGGTCTTCCTTATTCGTTGTCCAGCTTTCGCATGCATATGAGGCAATTGAAAACACCAGGGCTTGGGTCAGGTGCACCTTAGTCCTTTAAGTGACGTGTTTGCTTCTTAACACTTTAAAGAGGTCTTTTGCAGCAGATTTGCCCAATGCGACATGGTATTTAATTTCTTGACTGCTGCTTCCATGGGTGTTGATTGTGGATCCAAGTAAAATGAAATCCTTGACAACTTCAACCTTTTCTTCGTTTATCATGAAGTTGCTTATTGGTCCAATTGTGAGGACTTTTGTTTTCTTTATGTTGAGGTGTAATCCATACTGAAGGCTGTAGTCTTTTATCTTACCAGTAAGTGCTTCAAGTCCTCTTGACTTTCAGCAAGCGAGGCTGTGTCATCTGCATAAAGCAGATTGTTAATGAGTCTTTCTCTAATCCTGATACGGCATTCTTCTTTATATAGTCCAACTTCTCAGACTATTTGCTCAGCATACAGATTGAAAAAGTATGGTGAAAGGATACAGCCCTGACACACACCTTTCCTGACTTTAAACCACACAGTATCCCCTTTTTCTGTTCGAATGACTGACTCTTGATATATGTACAGGTTCCTCATGAACACAATGAAGTGCTCTGGAATTCCCATCCTTCATAATGTTATCCATAATTCGTTATGACCCACGCAGTCAAATACCTTTGCATAGTCAATAAAACACAGGTAAACATCTTCCTGCTATTCTCTGCTTTCAGTCAAGATCCATCTGACATCAGCAATGATATTCCTGGTTCCACATCCTCTCCTGAATCTGAGTTGAATTTCTGGTAGTTCCCTGTCAATGTACTGTTATAGCCACTTTTGAATTATCTTTAGCAAAATTTTACCTGTCTGGTATATTAATGATATTTTTCAATAATTTCCACACTTGGTTGGATCACCTTTCTTTGGAATAGGCATAAATATGGATCTCTTCTTGTCTGTTGGCCAAGTAGCTGTCTTCCAAATTTCTTGGCATAGATAAGTGAGCACTTCCTGCTATAAAACTGTTTGTTGAAACATCTCAGTTGGTATTCTGTCCGTTTCTGGATCCTTGTTTTTCACCAATGCTTTCAGTGCAGCTTGGACCTCTTCCTTTAGTACCATCAGTTCCTGATCATATGCTACCTCCTGAAATGGTTGAAAGTCAACCAATTCTTTTTGGTATAGTGACTCTGTGACATCTCCTTTTGATGCTTCCTGAGTCATTTAATATTTTTCCTGTAGAATC